CCACATCCCCAGACCTATTTTATATTTTATTTAGAGATAGAGTCTCACTGAGTAGCTTAGCTACGTTGCTGAAGCTGGCTTTGAACTCTTGATCCTCTTGCCTTAGCCTCCTAAACTGCTGAGATACAGGCATGTGCCACTATACCCGGGGGGTTGTAAATTCTTGTGTATTAAACATTTCTGGGGCTGGGGATGTGGCTCAAGCGGTAACGCGCTCGCCTGGCATGCATGCGGCCCGGGTTCGATCCTCAGCACCACATACCAACAAAGATGTTGTGTCTGCCGAGAACTAAAAAATAAATATATATTTAAAAAAAAGCATTTCTGTTTTTGTTTTCAGTAATTATTGATTCATGTTGCTCTTACACACACACACACACACACACACACACACACAAAACACTTTATGCTTTTCAATAATTCTAACAGTGTAGAGGAGTTCTGAGGTCAAAATGTTTGAGAACTGCTGATCTAGGGCACAGAAAAGGTAAAGTTTAAGTGGAATGTTGTGGCATTATGAACTAGCGGGATTCACTGGAACATTGAAAAAAATAAGGACTTTTAAAATGAGAAACTCGCCTCATGTTTAAGGAAATCCCGTCTCCCTTTTTTACTTTCTTTCCCCCCCCTAATATCCTTCCTTCATCAAGGTCCTCTTATTGTACTGACTCATTGTACTTGAGTTTGGAGCTAGAAGACTCTAATTTAGGGTTTTCCCTCCTTTATCCACATTCAGATTGTCCTGTCTTGAGTTGCATTTTACAGGACCTTGTTAGTTGAATGTAAAGGCCAATGGAGACAGTGTTCAGGGAAATAATTTGCAGATTATTGTTTGAAGACATAGTCACTTCATTCTAGTTATTTTGGTCTGAGGAATGAGGAAGATGGATGGAGTAGGAGCCTTCCATGCATAGTTTGAAAATCTTAACAGAGCAAGCCTGAGACAATGCAGAATTAATAAATGACACTCCTTGGAATGACAACAGCAAAAGGCAATTTCCACTGCAGCACTCTGGGGCCAATCCAGTCTGGTTGTCACTCAGCCTTCTCCTCTGGTACTGAAGAGCCCACCAGTTTCCAGGGGCCAGTGGTGTGACTGGCCACTGACCTGGGTCATAGCTCTATATCCTCTGATGATTATTTGAAAAGCCTCACAAGAAGGCAGTTTTTAAAGAGCCTGAGACTCGTAGACACATTTTATTTTACAGACATTATTATAGAAGTTCTTTTCAAGTTTATCTGGTGATAACTACACACACAATATATATATTCCAATCAGTTTTTTATTCTGTCAATTTGAAATATAAACAGATAATCAATAGTGAGTAGACATATGAGGAAAATTTATTTTTTAGAAATAGAAACAAATAAAAAAGTAAGTATATAGGACATAATAAAAATGTAGTGATAATTCTTTAAATATACAAATATCATTAATATCCTTAAGAAAATAACTAAATATGTTGCATCTGTGGAACAAAGAAGTATCAGACCATAAACTGGTTCATAGACATTAAAAATAGGGTAGCAGAAACAAAATACTGACAGAAAATAAATTTTTAAAATACCAGAGAATAAAGCAAACAAATGAAAAAAAGATAAAATGAATAAAAATTTAAAACTGGGCCAAATAATATTCCAGAAAGAGAGAATCAAGGAAATTAACATAGATATGATTTATGAAAAATATTCAAACAGAAGGCCAGTAGCTTCCAGACTGAAGTTTCTCAAAGGGTGCCCAGCAAAGGGGATGAGGATAAAACTTAATATATTTTTAAAAGGCTATTTTTAGAGCAGTTCTTAGTTCAGAGCAAAACTGAATGGAAAGTAGAGTTCCAGTGTATCTCTTGTCCCCATAAATGCACAACTTCCCCTACTACCAGCATCTTGCCCCAAAGTGGTACATTTGTTACCATCACTGAATCTACATAGACACATCACCCAAAGCCCTTAATTAACATTCAGGCTTCACTCTTGGCGTTGTGTACTTTATGGGTTTTGATTAATACATAAACACAAGTATTTACCATTATAATATTTTACAGAATAGTTTCTGTGCCCCTATAATCCTCTATGCTCTGTATATTCATCCCTTCCTCCCTTCAATATCACTTGGCAACTGCTGATTTTTTTTTCTTTCTTTCTTTCTTTTTTTTTTTTTTGGGTGCTGATGATTGAACCCTGGGGCTCTTACCACTGAGCTACATTCACCAGTCCTTTTTTATTTTGAGACAGGCTTCTGCCAAGTTGCTGAGGCTGGCCCTGAACTTGGGATCCTCCTGCCTCATCCTCCTCTGTTGCTGGGAATTAAAGGCGATTGCCCAGCTCACTGATTTTTTTTTTCCTGTATCACCATACTTTTGCCTTTTCCAGAAAGTCATGTAGTTGGGATCTCATAGTTTATATCAATTTCAGAGTGGTGGTGTCATCTTTCATGACTTCATTTCTGCCTTCTACACAGTTCGTATTAACCTCATTTTTACTTGTGGAGAAGTAGATGATGACTGATACATAAAAGGAAAAAGCAAGCTACAAAGTGTAACCTGGGAAACTCATCCACATCACATTGGGGTGATAAAACCCTGAGGGAAGGAAGAAATGAGGAATATTGTGGCCAGGAAACTGTGTTTAGAGAGGGCTTGGAGAGCACCTTTGAAATAGGAGCAAGGCCCAGATCCTGGGCAGTGCTATGCAGGTTAAGAAAAGGCTTTTCTTTCAAGTGTACAGGAAGCCATCAGAGAGTTTGAAGCAGAGTAATCAGAATTCATTTACATTTTAAAAATCACACACAGACTGCTGGGAAGAAGAGACTGTAGGTGGACCCAGAAGCAGTCTGGGGGTTAAATAACTATTGCAGTAGTGGAAGCAAAAGATGATGGTGGTTTGCTCTAGAGTAAGAGCAAAGACACTGGTGAGAAGCACAGGGACTGGAGACACTTTGAAGGTTAAAGATTTGTTAATGGATTGAATGGCAGGGAGACAGAATAGAGTAACTTAACTTGCTGCATTCAAGAGCAGGCAGATATATATACCAAAATAGTAAAGACTGATATGGTGAAAGAACTTCTGCGTTGGGGGCTGGGAGGAAGTGGGGGAAGAAGAGTGTTGTACATATAAATGTCTTTCATATGACGTGTTCCTCAACATTATACACTGAACAATTTCAAAGAGCAAATTGAAAGAATTTTACAACGAATACCCACAAAACCCACCTTCTAAATTTTACACTTTACTATCCATCTGTATATGCCTCTATCAGCCTTACTTTTGGAGTACATTTAAATTGCAGACTTCAATGCATTTCCTTCTAAATTCACATCAGCAAGAATCTAATCTGTTTTCATTTTTCTTTTGATCTAAAATTTACATACAAGGTGAAATGCACAAATCTTAAGTGCATACTGGCTGAGTTCTGACAATGCATACACCTGTCCACGCCTTAAACAGAAATGCAAGGGGGCATAATTGAACCGGCTGTTGGATGTGGGAATCTGGCGCTGGGAGGAGAGGTTTCTGTTTGAAATGTAAGTTTTGGAATCATCAAAACACAGGTTTATTTATGAGACTGGATGAAAATATTCAGGTGTATAGAGGGAAGAGAAGGTCTCTGTCCACAGAGCCCAGCATTTAAGAGGCCGGCTGGAAGAACGGGAACCAGAGAATTGGAGGTCAGGGGTTGGACCAGCCTAAAGAAGCTGGCCCAGCCCGGGGTTCCTGCAAAGCACTTCTGCTTGACGTGTAGGGCGGTCCTCGTAACCTTCGGGGTGGTCGGAGGAGTCCAGAGATGGCAAGGGTGGGGTATAGTTCTGGGGAGCAGAGTGCAGGGAGCTCCCGGCGCAAGGCCGGAAGGTCAGCCAGGAGGAGCGACAGGGAAGAGGGGGCGCAAGAGGAATGGTGAGGAGGGAAATTGGAAAAGGGAGGTGGAAGGAATGGAAAAG